AACTTATCTTTATTGTTGACTATATTACAGATGTCCCTCCTTTTTTCCCCCCTGACCCCTTCCTCCTACCCTCTTCCTGCCTTCCCCACACTGTTGTCTACACCTCTTCTTTCTTGAACTTTCTTTTTTATTTATTTATTTATTTTTATTTTTTATTTTTTTTATCCTCACCCAAGGATATTTTTCCACTTTTTGTACAGATAGAGTGGGAGGGAGAGAGAGAAACATCGACGTGAAGGGACACATCGAGTGGCTGCCACCCGCACGACCAACCAGGGTCGGGGACAAACTGCAACTGAAGTACGTGCCCTTAGCGGGAACCGAACCCGCGTCTCTCCGGACCGCAGGCCGACGCTCTAACCGCTGAGCCAAACTGGCCAGGGCATCTTTCTTGAACTTTCATCTGCTCTTCTCTTCTCTTCATTTTCACTTTATGACCTTGCTTTCTATTTCTTTGAGAAAAATCAAGGCACTCGGAAGAGAACTGCACAGATTTCTCCCACATCTGCTCACTTGCATTTGCACCATATGCTTTGTCTTTCTTCTTGTTACTATTGATGAACCATCCATGCTTTAAAACCAATTCCTGCCTGCATGGGTGGTGTTGCTCAGTGGATTGAGCGTCGTCCCATGGACTGAGAGGTCCCAGTTCTGTTCCTGGTCAGGACACAAGCCTGGCTTTTGGACTCAGTTCTCAGTGGGGGGCATGCAGGAGGTAGCTGATTGGTGTTTCACATTGATGTTTCTCTTTCTTCCTTCCTCTCTCTAAATAATCAATAAAAACATTGAAAAAAAATCAATTCCTCCGCTTGTCCACTAGATCTCACTCATGCTATTCCTTTTCACCTTCTCAGAGACATTGCTTCAGCAATTTTTATTTTTCAAAAACAAGTTTCTCTTCTTTTGGATCTTATCATTAGCATGTAGTACCCCCCTCACACCTAAAACAATAACAACAAAACCTCCTTACCCAACTTTCCCTCTAGCTAATACCCTAATGCTCTGCTCTCTGTCACATTAAATCTCAAGTCATCTATCATACTGCTCAATTTCATTAACCTTTTTAAAAATTGAGATATTCACATATTATAAACTTCATTCTTTTAAAATGTATAATTCAGTGGTTTTAAAATACAGTTGACCCTTGCACAACGCAGGTTTGAACTGCATGGGTCGATTTAAATGCTGATGAAAACCCGGGCTATTCAAGGGTCTACTGTATTCACAGTGTTGTACAGCCATCACCACTGTCTAATTCCAGAATATTTTGATCATCCTAAAAAGAAACCCCATACCCATTAGCAGTTACTTTTCACTCTTTTCTCCCCTCTAGTTTCTGGCAGCAAATAATCTACTCTCTGTCTTTATGGTTTTGCTTATTGTGGGCATTTCATATAAGTGGCATATAATACATGGCCTTTTATGTCTGGCTGTTTAAACTTGGTATGATATTTTCAAGGTTCATCCATGTTGTCATTGGTACTTCATTTCTGTTTTTTTGGCTGAATATTTCATTGTGTAATGGATGAAGGGTCACCAAGGCCATCCTCAAGTTTGATGAAATTGTGAGGAGGACTCATAAGGCTCAGCATAAAGTCATGCTGTAGGCTATGATTTATTATAAGGAAATAGAGAAAAGGCACAGGTGGTGAAGTCCACAAGAAACCAGGTACAAGCTTCCAAGGGTCCTTTCCCAGGATATGCTTAATTCCCCTAGCAACAAGTTGTGACAACATTTCTGAAATGTCACCAACCAGGGAAGCTCATTAAAGGTCCAACACCCAGGGTTTTTATTGGGGGGTTGCTTACATATACATCCTTTGCCTAACTTATACTCATATTCCAGACTCCTAAAAGGAAAAGTGGTGTTTAGCATAAACCAATTGTTTAGGCATAATGAACTACCATTGTCACTTACAAAATGCTGGAAAGACTCCTGAAATCTTATTTTCAGATACCAGCCAAGGGCTAACCTTGTATGTTTTACAGAAGACAATAATCAGGCCTGCTATGTTAACTCTTTTCTATACATGTGGACATACCATATTTTGTTTATCCATTCATCTATTGATAGACATTTGGGTTGTTTTGACCTTTTAATGTTATGAATAATTCTCTGAACACTATGTACATTTGTGTCAGCGTAATGTTTTCCATTCTCTTGTGTTATACACCTAGGACTAGAATTGCTGGGTCATATGGTAAACTTTTGAGGAATTGCCAGACTATTTTCCAAAGAGGCTACACCATTTCACCATGTATGAGGGTTTCAATTGTTCTACATTCTAAACAAAACTTATTTTATTTATTTATTTATTTTTATTTTTAAATTCTCACCTGAGGATATTTTTCTATCTATAAATAGATAGGGTAGGAGGGAGAGAGAGGGAGAGAAAAGGAGAGAGAGAGAGAGAGAGAGAGAGAGAGAGAGAGAAACATCTATGTGAGAGGGACACATCAACCCGTTGCCTCCCATACAACCCTGACCAGGGCCTGGGACAAACTGCAACCAAGGTACATGCCCTTGGCTGGAATTAAACCTGAGACTCCTTGGTCCGTGGGCCAATGCTCTATTGCTGAGCCAAACTGGCCAGGGTGTTATCTTTTTTATTATAGCCACCCTAATGGGTATGAAGTTGTATTTTGTTTTGATTTGCCTTCCTCTGATGACTAATGATTTTGAACATCTTTTTGTGTGCGTATTAGCTGATTGTATATCTTGTTTGGAGAATTGTTTATTCTTTGCCCATTTTAAAATTTGGGTTATTTGTCTCTATATTTATTGAGTTGTGGAAATTCCAGATACAATCTCTTATCATATAAATGATTTTCAAAAGTTTTCTCCCATTCTGTGGGTTGTCTTTAAACTTTTTTGATGGTATCCTTGAAAGCACAAACAATTTAAATTTCTATTATTTCTGTTTTATCTACCTGTTCTTTTGTTAACTGTACTTTTGATGTCATATCTAAGAAATCATTGCCTAATCCAAGGTCATGAAGATTTATACCTGTGTATACTTAAAGAAGTTTTATACTGTTATTTATTTATTTATTTTTGCATTTATCTTCAGACAGAGTGGGAGAGAGGGAGAAAGAGAGAGAGAAACATCAATGTGAGAGAGACAAATCAAGTGGTTGCCACCCACACGACCTCAACCAGGGCCGATGACAAACTGCAACTGAGGTACGCGCCCTTAGTGGGAACCGAACCTGGGACTCTCTGGTCCACGGGCCGAAGCTCTAACTGCTGAGCCAAACTTGCCAGGGCTATACTTTTAGACCTTTGAGTAAGTTCATATTTGTATATAGTATGAACCTAGGGTTCAGCTTCATTTTCTAGAGGAGCTCACAAAACTGAGGAAAACATTTTACTTACTTAGATTATTATAAAGGGATATATCTCAGGAACAGCCAGATAGAAGAGATGACTAGAACCAGGCACGTGGGAAAGGTCACAGAGCTTCCATGCCCTCTCTGGGTACACCATTCTCCCAGTACCTTCATGTGTTCACCAACCTGAAGGCTCTTCAAACCCATCCTTTAGGGTTTTTAGGGAGGCATCATTACATAGGCATGAATGATTAAATCATTGACCATTGGTGGTTAATTCAACCTCTATGTATAGGTAGGTGTGCCATCTGTAAATAGAGATAGCTTTATGTTTCTTTTCCAATCTTTCTGTTTCTTTTATTTCTTTTTCTTGCCTCATCTAGAACCTCCAGTTAAATATTGAATAGAAGAGGTGAGAGCAGACATCCTTGATGATCTTAGAAGGAAAACCTTCAGTCTTTCACCATTGAGTATGATGTTAGCTATGGGTTTGTTTGTTTTCTTAATCAGGTTGAGCATACTCCCTTCTATTCCTACTTTGTTTAGTGTTTTATCATGTCAAGGTATTGGATTTTGTCAAATGCATTTGTTTGTTTATTAAGGTGATCATGTAGGTTTTGTCCTCTCTATATGGTATCTCAGTTCATTCAGGCTGCTTCAAAAAAATACCACAGACTAGGTGATTTATCAGTAACAGAAATTTCTTTCACACAGTTCTGGAGGCTGGAGGTCTAAGATCAGAGTGCCAGCATGATAGGATTCTGGTGAAGGCCCTATTCTGTGTTGCAGACTACTGACTTCTCACTGTGCCCTCACATGGTAGAAAGAGGCAGGGGATCTCTTTGGAGCTTCTTTTATAGCTAATCCCATGCATGAAGGCTCTGCCCTCATGACCTAATCACTTTGCAAAGATCTCACCTTCTAATACCATCACACTGAACATTAGGTTTTAACATTTGCATTTTGGTGGGGGCCGGAGAACATAGACATTTAGATCATAGAATATGATGTATAACATTGATTTTTATATGTTTAACTACCCTTGATTTCCTAAGATAAACCCCAGTTAATCATGGTGTATAATTCTTTTTATATGTTGCTGGGTTCAGTTAGCTATTATTTTGTTGAGGATATTTTCTTCTTTATTAATAAAGAATGTTGGTCTGTGGTTTTCTTTTCATGTGATTTCTGTGTCTACTTTTGTATCAGGATAATACTGACTCCACAGAATAAGTTGGGAAGTGCTTTCTTCTTTTTGGAAAAGTTTATGAAGGATTGGTGTTAATTCTTGTTTAAACATTTGGTAGAATTCACCCATGAAGGCACCTTGACTTGAGTGTTATCATTGTGGGACATTTTTTATTACTAATTCAATCTTTTTACCTATTATAGATCTATTCAGATATTCTGTTTCTTCTTAAATAAGATTTGGTAGTGTCCACTTCATTTAGGTTGTCTAATTTGTTGGCGTTATATATTTCTTCTTTAAAATTAAAAAATTTTATAGACTACTTTTCAAACTTTCTGCTATTTTAGATTGACTTTGCTACAGTTAGTTCAGATTTTAAAGGTTTTAAAATTATGTAGTTGTATATGAAAGCTGCACTTTGGGAAGCTAGCTATTAAGAATTGTCATTATTTTTATTAATATTTTATATTTTGTCTTTTAGGATTGTATACTCATCAAACAGAAACTTAAAAAACTATGAAAAGGAAATTCTTAGGAAAAAGATAGTAGAGCACGGGGTACCACAAACACAACATGACTTCAGTTTTGGAAAGTGTACTGACAATGATGGAAGACCACCTACAGAGTTCTTAGATAAAAAATCACCTGATTGTTCTCTTCTGAAGCATGAAATTCCAGATATGAACGATGGAGAGGACAATTTTGTTTCCAGTGGTGAGGCATTTTACTTGTTGATTTTTGTAAAATTTTATAGACATGAAAGTAATTATATTCTGATATATTTAGAGAAACGCATACTTCAAAAATCAGTTCTGCTCTTTTTATAATAAGTAAATGAAAGTAATTTTTTTATGGGTCAATGAAAATAATAGTATGGTTAACTTCCGGTATTCCCAAATAATTGGAGATGGAGATACTGTAAGTAAATGCACATAATTCACAATTCTTCTTTTAAGCCTCCACGTGTTATAATCCATATTCTAATCTACACCAGTAAAAGCTTTACCAGACTAGAGAGTCAGTTCTGTTATAATACAATAATATATGCATTTCTTAAAAAACACAATGCAACACAAAAATTACCATTACTTTTTTGTCATGACACAAAAATATTACTGAAAATTTTGTCACGACACATTTTAGAAAGATAGGAATTAATAAAAATGGTAGCCTAATTTTAAACATGTTAAAAGGTGAAGAAACATATAAATACTGCAATAAATACGGCATTTGACCTTAAAAAATATCTTTAGTTTGTTTGTAGATGTTTGTGTCAGAGGGATTGCAGCTTGTAAATTATTGTGTATTGGTGGAAGGAGGATGTTAAGGATACAGATATAGACATATAGATATATAGATATAATAAATGTTGTAACAGGAAACTTGAGATCTCTGGATCAGAGAACAAACTGTTCATTACTCACATAACATCTTAGTGCTAGTACCAATACCCAGTACCCATAAGGCTATGTGGTAAGGGCCAGATGTTACCCTTCACATGCAGTATGACTGCACCATGCAGGAGAGTTTTATAGGCTGCCGGTAGATCTTCCTATCCTCCTAACCAGAGAGACAGAGACAGAGAGACAGACAGACAGGTAGAACTTTACTTTGGAAAATAAATAAATTTTCTCTGGTGAGGGGAGAGGAAGGTAGCTTCACTACCCTGGAGTGTAAGGAAATATATGGTTTTGGGGTGAGGAAAGTCTCCAAATCTTTTTGAGGCATCACATTATCTCTAGCTTCTAAGGCCATGTTTACTATGAAATCTTTTATCCAAATTTGCCAGTGCTCTGCTCTAAAAGGCCAGAACATGTAGAAACACAATTATACTCATAGAAAATGGTCTCCCAAATATTGGTTGAAATACATCTAAAATAAGATCTTTTGCTGGTGTGGCTCAGTGGTTGAGCGTTGACCCATGCACCAAGAGATTGCTTGTTTGATTCCCGGTCAAGGCACATGCCCAGGTTGTGGGCCAAATCCCCAGTGCGGGGCATGCAAAAGGTGGCCAGTCGATGTTCTCTCTCATCAGTGTTTCCATCTCTCTCTCCCTCTCCCTTCTTTTCTCTCTAAAATCAATAAAGAAAAAAAAATAAATCAATAAAGAAAAATATTTTTAAATAAAAATAAATAAGATGGGAATTTGTAACAGCAGATATGGATGGGTGTGGCTCATAACATGCAGTGAACAGAGGTATCTAGTAGAGATGATTTAGGTGTTTATGTGTGTTTTGTATATTCTTACATGGCTCAGTTCAGCTGGTACAGTTTTCTGCATTGACCGAGTGTTTCTTGTGGATGAACTTGCCACTAAGCAAATGAAAAGTTAATGTTATGCTCAGATTGTTCCCTAATATATCAATTGTGTTGGATGGAACTTATGTTTTCAAAACAAGTGTTATAGCAGAATTGAATGTATATGAAAGTATCAGTTAACTAAAGGATTTTGTTACTGATATTTAGTTCAACGATAATAACAAAGTGATTTAAACTTAGATTCCTCTGATATACGTTCACCATAATTAGGTATGGTGAATGAACGAATGAATGAATGAATGAATGAATGAATGTCTATTCTAGGCTTGAGATAAATCCATTCATATATTTTATCTCCGTTAGTCTTAGATAACCCTAAGAAGTAAGTGGTTACAGATTGATTTTATAGATAGGATTTTAAGACTCAGATTGTGAGGGACTTATCCAAGGCCACACATATAAACCAATGAGCAGAGCTGGTATTTGATAACCATTTTTCCTGCCTCTAGTCTAGACCTCTGCCACGGCCATACCACAACCCATTAAAGCAGCCAAACAAATTGTAACTATAGGTGAAAAGAGTTCTTTTACCCTCTCAACCCTCTGCCTTTTCATTACTTTCTCCATCACTCCAAGGAAAACGCCCATGTTTACCAGTTTCATAGACACTTGTCTTTATTTTATTAACTTCTTTGCAGTCTTTCATACTGTCAATGTTGCCCTCCTTGAAACTTCCTCTGGGTTCTATGACATTGTGCTCTTTTGATTTTCCTTGTTGGCCATTCCTCATTCTCCTTCACTGGCACATCATCTTTCTGCCCTTTAAATAATTGGTATCCCCATTTTTTTTGAGCCTCATTTATCTGTCTAAATACAGGGTAGGGCAAAAGTATGTTTATAGTTTGTATGGAAAATAATACAAGAATTAATAAATCATAATACAAGAAAGAAACTGTTTCACATGCAACAGTAAACCTACTTTTCTTCCACCCTGTATACCTTAAATATCTCAAAATTAACCTGTCTCAAACTGACCTAATCACTCACCTCTCCCAAACTGTGCTTTATTTAAATATCCTCTTAGTGTGGGTTATATCACTATCTTTCTACTCATTTACTCTTACCCTTTATTCATGACCTATCTATTGAATTATCTCCTAAATATTTTTTAAAAAATTTTTTTCTTTATTGATTTTGAGAGAGAGAGAGAGAGAGAGAGGAAGGAAGAAAGAGAAAAGGAGATAGAAACATCGATGAACGAGAACATCAATTGGCTACCTCCTGCATGCCCCAATGGGGATTTGGCCCACAACCTGGGCATATGTCCTGACCAGGAATTGAACCAGCGACCTCTTGGTGCGTGGGTCAACACTCAACCACTGAGCCACACCAGCCGGGTGATATTTTAAAATATTTCTCTTATATCCTCTTGCCATTTCTTTATTTTAAGACTTTACTATTTTTCTTGAGAATTTGCACTCTAGCTGCTTGCCAGGCCTCTCATTATGCCACCATCTATTTATATCATATAGAACAATGTCTGTTAATTGCAAGTCTAATCATGGCACTCCTCTTATTGAAATTATTCAGTGGTCTCCCATAGCATTAAGATAAATCTCAAGTTATTTCCTGTGGTATAAAGGGATGTTGTGAACTGGCTCCTGCCTACAACTCCACACCATCCTGTTTTCAAATCCCTTCCTACCTCATGAACTCTTGTCTTACTGAGTTACTTGGCATTTCCATCCAAAGAACTGTATTTAGTCACTGTGTGCTTTTGCACTTGCTGTTTGTTCCTGGAATGCCATTCTCGTTATTCATCACATTATTTAATTGAATATCAGCTTTGTGCTAGGTGTTGAAGATTTACAAGTGAACAAAACAGGCAGTGTTCTTGACCTGCAGTTTAACAGTGTTATCAGTGGGATGTTCTCCATGTCCCCACCTGTTGTTGGTGGAATGGGGCTTCTTGGGGTGATATGGGAACAGTAATTTCTTGAAGCCCCCACGGGAGGATGAGGTATCATGGAAACCTTTATTTCTGTGGAATTAAACCCCTGAGTTTCCAAGCTCCCATTTCCCTCCATCCCACCATGGAAAAAGTCCTCTGTCTTCAGCAGGGCTAAGATTAAAGCCATTGCCTAGAGTTTCTGCTCCATATTTGCACAGTCTAGTCCAGCATCAGGATACCTTAAGTTGTGTTCCCAGCTGCAGTCCATTGCGTGTGGGGTCCACTTGGCCCAGGGGCCATGTGTCTTCTTGGGCCACATGGCTATGGAAGGAGCATGGGCGAGTTCAAGGAAGCAGGAGCAAAGCAAGAGGAACAGAGTTAAGAGAATTCTGCCCTGGCTGGTTTGGCTCAGCGGTTAGAGCATTGACCTGCAGTCCAGAGAGACCCAGGTTCGGTTCCCGCTAAGGGCGTGTACCTTGGTTGCAGTTTGTTCCTGGCCCTGGTTGGTCATGCGGGTGGCAGCCACTCGATATGCCCCTTTCACGTCAATGTTTCTCTCTCTCTCTCTTCCTCTCTGTCCCTCCCACTCTATCTGAACAAAAAATGGAAAAAAATGTCCTCAGGTGAGGATAAAAAAAAAAGAGAGAATTCCTTTGTCTGCAGATTATGTATTCCCAAATTTTCATGGGTTTGTAGTGGCTCTACCCCCTAGCCAGTTAATTTTGTTCCAGGTTAGACTGACAGACAAGCACCTTCCCAAGGTTACCTCAACTTCACTGTGCATGTGCCCATCTTCCCCTTTGTTGGACTCCTTCCCCCAGTGTTTTGCAGGGAACGGACTGGTGGTTTTCTGGGGAGCATGAAGTTGTAGTTTCCTGATGAAGCTGCCCAGATGACCATACTTATAATGTCTGGCCTCCCCCTGCTCCTTTCCCCCTATCTAGTTACAACAGGAATAGTAGGAGATAGGTGGGTTATGTACAAAGTGTGATGAGGATACAAATAGGGCACATGCTACCTGGACTCAGGCTTCCAGAGAAAACTATCTGGAGGGAGTGATGTCTGAATTGAGTCCTAAAAGAAAAAGCAATTTGGCCCTGGCTGGTTTGGCTCAGTGGTTGGAGCATTGGCCTGCTGACCTGAGAGTGCCAGGTTCAGTTCCCTCTAAGGGCATGTACCTCAGTTTGTCCCCGGCCCTGGTTGCGGTCGTGTGGGTGGCAACCACTCAGTATGTCTCTTACACATTGATGTTTCTCTCTCTCTCTTCCTCCCTCTCTCCCTCCCGCTCTATCTGAAGATGAATGCAAAAATGTCCTCCAGTGAGGTTAAAAAAAAAAGCAGTTTAGGAGAATAATATAAGGAAACAACACGTGTTATAATGTGTCAGCGAGATAACCAGAGACGCACAGCCAGATTGTAAAGGAGTGCTTTATGCTCACTGGCGGGCTGCAGAGGGCATAGTCTCCCCTCAGATCAGCACCACGATTCTTCTTGCTGGTCTGAT